AATACAGCTTGGAAAACACTGATATAAGGCTTTAATATCCAGGGGAAAAACCTTGTAAATTAGCTGGGTGCTGGTGGCTCACGACTATAATCCTAGCTACTCAGGAGGCTGAGCTCTGAGGATCACAGTTCAAAGCCAGCCCTGGCAAGAAAATCTGTGAGACTCTTTCCTCCAATAAATCACCAGAAAATGGAAATGGTGCTGTGGCTCAAGTGGTAGAGCACTTGCGTTGAGCTGAAGAGCTGAGGGACAGTGCCCAGGCCCAGAGTTCAAGGCTCATGACCAACCCCCCCACAAAAGAAAACCTTTTAAATTGCTAAAAATGTCCTAGAAAGGAAGAAGAAAAATTGTTTTGACCAAAATACATTGTAATTATATCAACTTGAAACAGATTGCTTAGAAGAACTGATATCAGCATAAGTCATGTAGTGAAACTAAATACTGCATGTACATTCTCTGCAAAGTGTAGACATGCCATGTGTGAGATACATACTAGAGCAGATGCACTTACCTTAACCTGTTTAGCGGGTCCTCCAGTGGGTCCAGAATTTCTAATATAGGGAATGGTTTGAAGACTTTACTGAGATGTCATTATTTACCATGCCTGCCCTTCCTTTTGCATTGCTTATTCCACACAGCTTGTGGATGCTCCTAATATAATTATTTTGATATTGCTTCTCTTGTTTGTTTCTAATAAATGCAGCATCACTCATCAGACAGACAGCTTCTGTGTGAAGGCACTCCTAAAGGACTCTACTGACCACCCATCCTTCTTTCCTATTTTAAAATATATGGGTAAAGTTTAATCATAGATTTGGAGCCTTTACTTTTTTTCCTTGCTCCAGTGTCCCTGCAAAGTACCATGATCAGTGGCTGCAATCCGCCACTCATCATCTCCAATAAGAAGGATCTGAATGTTAGTAAACCTCATTAACTAGCACCTGATACTCTAATACATCCTTCCCAAACTTTATTCTGGTATCATCCCTTTACCCATCTTTTATGTAATTACAAGCTTCTGAAAATCAAGACTTTGTCTTATTTCTTTGTAATACCCTACTCCCTCTCCTCCAACAGTGGTGTCCTTAATACATAGTACTGCTCAATAATTCATGTTAACTGAATTCATGTTAACAGTTTGGAAATATTCTTTGATTAATTGTGGGGGGGGAGGAAAGTAATGACAACTAAAGAATGAACTGCCTATACTTTCAATAGCCAGGTTAAGAACTCCTGTTTGCACATATTACCTGAAGTTGCAGATATCTTGGACATAGTGGAAGCCTTTAACCCCAGCTGTAAAAGAGACATCAAGGTGGATTTTCTAGGCATTGGGATGCTCTGGTACAACTACTGATGGTTTCACAGGTCTGTCTAGGACTACAGTCATACAACTGTGAGATGGATAGCTCAAGTGTTCAGCTGAGAAGCAGAGACAGGCTTATGACAGGCTTTTACTTCTTTTCCCAATTACCATCTCCTAATGCACTCAGTCCTTCACGCACATTAAGCAACCAACTATTTGCTGTAAGCAGAGTAGTGTAGCATTTTCCTGGAGGAAACTCAGCATAGGCTGTGAAGGAAGGGGCTTTTCCCTCATTTCCCCATTAGAAAGGGCAGCTTTCCCTCTGTGGCCTTTGTTCCTTTCCCCAGCTGGAATGGTTTCTCTTCTCTGTTCTTTTTGCCTTTCTGAATCCCAGGAGGACCAGCTAAAAATCCCTTCCCCTTCCTGAAACCCTCCCCAGCCCTTTGTGGAAAACAATAATTGTCCACCTTGAACACCTGGACATCATAGTGCCTGCACTACTTTCACGTGTTTTCCTTTATGCTATCAATTATTTTCTCTTATATTTCTGTCTTGTGCTTTCTGAAAGTGAAAATAATGTCTTGGATTTTTGAAAAACCTTTAGCATCTTATATCATATGGCCCACATTAAGAAAATACTTTGTAATTTATGAGAAAAACATATAGAAAGGAATTTGATGAGGGCTGGGAAGGTGGCTCAGTGGTAGAGCGCTTGCCTTGCATGCAAGAGGCCCTGGGTTCGATTCCTCAGCACCACATAAGCAAAAAGAAAAAAGCCGGAAGTGGCGCTGTGGCTCTAATGGTAGAGCGCTAGCCTTGAGCTGAAGAGCTGAGGGACAGCGCCCAGGCCCAGACTTCAGGCCCCACGACCGGACCCCCAAAAAAAAAAAAGAAAGGAATTTGATGAGGTAAATAAGCTTAATGAAAGATTATTACAGATATTATAAACATCTATGTGCATATAATACTTTTATAATATTTCAAAACTCCTTTAAATAATTTCACTAAAAGAACAATTACCAAAGAGTCTTGGAAAATGTTTACAAAAATGTTTCATACTCAGCAATTAATATAGATTACAAATATGCAAATACATGGACAGAGATACTTATTTGAACTAGAATCAAAGCCTGTTTTAGAAATTGGTCTACATGTTTCTGTTACTTTTTGTATAAATCTTTGCATAATTCTACTATTATATATTGTCTGTGTTGTGTTAATTCATCTGAAGTGACAAATTACCTGGTGTATATTCCAGAAAAAGCCAGACATAGTGCATCTACCTGACCATCAAATCTTATTCTTATTCTCAACAAAACATGCTGCTGAGTTTTCCAGGCTAATGGCATACCAAATGTATGTCTGGATCCAAAGCAGTTTAAATGAGCTCTCTGTACTGGTTCATGATCTTCTGATAAGTTCTGTACAATTTGCATTTAAGAGTGTAGTTCTTGGCAGTTACTGGTGACTCATACCTGTAATCCTACTGAGATCTGAGGATCACAGTTTGAAGCCAACCCAGGCAGAAGTCTATGAGACTCTTATCTCCACTTAACCACCAAAAATGCCAGAAGTGGAGCACAAATGGTAGAAAGCTAGCCTTGAGCAAAAAACCTCAGGGACAATAGGTGTAAATTTGGTCCCCTTGAAACCACATTATAAAAGGGAATATTTGTTCTGGGCATTAGTGGCTCATGTCTGTAAGCTTAGCAACTCAGGAGACTGAGATCTGAGGATCGTAGTTCAAAGGCAGCCTGAGTAGGAAATTTGTGAAATTCAAGAGAGTTTCACAATTAACGAGTAATAAACAAGAAGTAGAGGTGAGGCTCAAAAGGTAGAGTGTATTGAGCAAAAAGGCTCAGGGATAGTGTCCAGGTCCTGAGTTCAAGCCCCACGACTGGCACCAAAAAAATGTATCAATGACAAATTTAAGAAGATTTTATTGAAGTTTATAACTATATTGTAATTATTGATATTCATATCCTAAAATATTTAGAGGTTAATAAAAATATTTGCATATTTTTCTCAAATGTTTCAGATAAAAATAATTCAATTCTTCACAAAGCTAAGGGACAGTGTCCAGGTCCTTGGTTCAAGCTCCGGGACTAACAAAAAAAGTGAATATTTGTGACATTTGGAAGTATGGCAATAGTATGTATAAAGTTGTGGAATATTACTTGTGTTAAAGAAAATAAAGAGAAGGACATGTTGAATGTATCAACAAAAAATTATTAAAAAGAAAAAGTTTACTAAACATGCATCCATTCATGTCCAGGCATCGTTCTCAGCCTTCAAAATTGCTCTCCTTCAAATCCATCCAATCTGACAATAAATACTAACTTAGAGATTTGCATATAACAAGAACTGTGTTAGACTCAACTGTCACATCTTCCCTGGGCAGATACTGTCTTATCCAACACATTTAGCAACTCCCCACTTTATGAAACCAAATATAATTCAACTTTTGCTTTCTAGCTTGTGATATATTCATTCCATTCATTTGCCCAACTGCTTCAAGCAAAGCAATATAGTTGCTCTTCTCGGTGACGTGTAAAAGTTTTTACCAAATTCCTTGAGGCTTAGAACTACAAAATATGTTATTCTTAGAAGTAGATGTTGTGTGCGTATCATAAAACCAACAATGTAGGGGAAAAATATTGAACTAGATGTAACTAGCATTTTTGTAAAAATGCTTCACCAAAAATAAAAAGGAAGGGAGAAAGAAAGAGAAAGGGAGACAGGGAAAGTTGGAGGGAGAGAGAGAGGGAAAGAAAGAAAGAAAGAAAAAGAAGGAAGGAAAGAAAGAAAGAAGGAAAGAAATGTGGAATAGAATGGGAAAGAACCTTAAATTAGAATATAGGATAAAGAATTAAAAACCAAGAAATAGGCAGACTAAGAAAAACCAGAGAATGGAGAACAACTGGATATGTGGTAGAAATGAAAGTAGTTATTTTCTGTTTTTTTTGTTTTGTTTTGTTTTGTTTTTAGAAGCAATCCTGAGGGAAACACAAAATAAAAAAGTCAGGACTTCCACATTTGGGAGGTTAGAGTTCTGAAATGATCTTGCCTAAAAAGAAAGCAAAAAAGTTCTGCTTTCAGAAATAGGATTCATTTTTATTGAGCCACAGCCATATAAAGAGAACTGTGATCACGCAAAGGCCCTATCCCATCAAGAAATGACAATAATAAATTATATAATAATCAAACCTAATAGACAGTCCCAACTTCTCCCTCCATTTGCAAGTGCCTGACTTCCAGAATTAATTCCAAGTTTAAAATCAGAATCCAAGTTAGGCCCCATTGGATTCTCAATGTTTTTAACCTTTATATTAAATAACCATCAAAGAACACTAATTAAGAACTATAGTTATATTTTTTCATACACTTCTAAATTATATATAAAATAATATATGACATCTGTGGATGGTTTCCAAAAAAAAGTATAAATGCCTCAGGGTACATCTGCCTGGCTAAAAAACAGGTGAAAAATATCTATCAAAGTACAAAGGAATATACTATTAAAACTGTAGATATAAGGTCAATATTGTATAAAGTAAATAAATTAATAAAATCTATAGTAAAAACTAGAATGTTTTAGATGAATCTGAAAAGGCTGATTTTCTAACATTTTAAAAGTGAGAAAAGCTATTTGGCAAAATCTTTAACTTGGATTTATTTTTAATTTTGTTTCTAGGTTTCAGCTTCAGAGATTTGCAACTGATCCAAATAGTTACAAAGGTTTAGGAGACAGCTTTCGGACAATTTACAAAACAGAGGGGTATGTATTTTATATGTGTGTGTGTGTGTGTGTGTGTGTGTGTAGACTATGTTAATATAGGCATTATAATTATTTCAACTTAACAAGTTTTATGTTTGTTTTCCTAGTCTTGTTAGGAAAAAAAATGCTTAAAAGTGTGTTTTTCCCACTTCATTGTTTTTCCTGGTATGATTCAAAACTGAGTATGTATAAAAACTACCAAAAAGATATTTCAAAGAATTTGATGACTCAATGTCAAATTTTGATTTATACCATTGAGACTTTGAAAATTTTCTAGCCTGAAACCATATAAGTATAATAGCTCTTTGTTTCTTGGTATTTAAATATAATGCCCAAATAGGTTTGCACAGTTGTTTAAGAACATGCAAGCAAATTATATCTCTGTCAAAATTGTATTTATCAAATTTAGTATCATATCTATTAGATGATTATGTCAATAGAATATTTTGTTAATAGAAGCTAAAATTTTCTTTGCTGTATAGACTCAGTTTAAATATATGTAGGATATTTTTTCTATAGCTAGTGTTGTAATACTCAGCATAATACATTTGATTTTTAAAGCTGTATTTTTTCATGGCAATGATAGTTTAATGTCTTGGTTGTTTTTTAAACACAATATAAAAGTCATTTTCTACACACAAGTTTGAAATTTTAGTCTAGAATTCAAGGGTTGGTTTTAAGAAAAGAAGAAGAAAAGGCTGGTGCTAATCTATTTCTTACTCCTTAACATGTAAAAAAAACTTCTTTTCTGAAGCTATTAGAATTTTTACCCTTAGTATTTTAATCTTAACATGCTGAGTCTAATTTTTATAAGACAACTAGATAAAGAAATCATTCTTCAAGTTTTTAAATAATAATAAAACTAGCATGTATTTAGTCTCAACATATATTAAGAATTCTCCTTATAACTCTGTGAAGTACATTCTATTCCAGTTGATAAAGTAGAGAAGACTTAAAGAAATTAGTAAATTTCACATATCTATGCAGAAAAGGTAGGATTCAACTTCGGGTCCGACCCAAAGCCCATGCTTTTAAACACTGTACATCACTACCTTTCTTACCAGATCATACTGCAAGTACTATTCATTTACAGTACTTACTGTACTATTAGTACTTTACTGTAAGTACTATTTATACTAGTCATTTATTTCAGTTAAACCTAAACATGGATATCTTCCCATGCCAGTATATTCTCTGTGTGTGTGTTTTGAGAAGTTTATATATGCAAGAGAATTTACTGAATAAAGTAACAAATTGTTGTCAACAAAAAATCTGTGGTAGAAAGAAATAGAATGTAATTGGCACTTTTGCAATAAAGCTTGTGCTTGAAGGGAAAAGAGGAAAAATTAATTCTGGCTTCTTTGTGGCAAGCACCTATGAAAGAAGTTCACTTCCAAACATCATTTTTTTACTTTTTATTGTTTTTGTAGAGGTGATGTACAGACGGGTTATAGTTATATAAGTTAGATAATGACATTTTTTTAAAAAGTTTATAGTTATTGTAAAGGTTATATAGAGGAGTTACAGTCACATAAGTCATAATTAGTATGTTTCTTTCTGAACAGTGTCCCCTTTCCCTTGCTATCTCCTAGATTTTCCCTTTCATTCCCACACGCAAGTTGTATAGTCCACCTACTGTATTTGTTTAGCCTTTGTCCCACCATTTCTATAACCCCCCTTCCTGCCCAAAGGCAGATAAACAAACAAGACAAAAGGAACTGAAAACTAAAACAGCAACAAAGAAAAAGAATTCCACTTCCTCGAGTTCATTTCAATAAATATTATTTTTGAGTGTTTTTTTATTTTTTTATTGTGAAAATTCCATTCAGAGGGGTACAATTACATGGGCAAGGTAATGAGTGAATTTCTTATCAAGCATTATTGCCTCCTCCTTTGTTTCCCCTTCCCATCCCTTCCCATCTCCTCCCTCACCCCCCCCCAACAAATATTATTTTATGGTCAGATCCATGTACTTATTGACTCCTTGTGATCCTCTCCTAATAATATTCTACTTTGATCTCACTATATGAATACTTAGAGACTGTATAATTTATCATGGCCCACTGTATTTTTTTCTTTTTGGATGGTATCACCCTTTCCCTCACTGTCTCCCAGGTTTTTCCTCACATCCCCACTCACAAGGAGCATGTTTATTTTGAAACATCATTTTTAAATACAGATGGAACATAATAGATAATTACTTTGGATCTCCACCGTGTCAGTGTCATGCATCTCCTGATTAGCATCAAATACTAGCATACTTTTATATCATAAAGTGTTATTTCTTTCATGAGTTGCCTATTTTTATCATTTACACATTTCTCCTAGATTTTTTTTCAAATTGATTTCAGTATACTATGTATTACAGACAAAAATTATCTGACTGTTATATAAAAATTGTAAACATTTCTCCTAATTCATCATTTGTCTTAAACCCCATAAACTCTTAGCCTTTCAGAAATTTATGACATTGTAGATTGTGATTTTTGTTATCTTAACTACCTTGCCTTTGAGCTATCCAACAATGTCATGCTAAGAAAAACATAAAACAACAAAAAGATTATACTCTCCAATCCCAAGATTGGATTTCTTCTATTTTTCTTCTATTTTTTTCATATATTTAATTCATCTAAGAATTTTTTTAAATGTCTAGTGTGGCAAATAGAAATTCATTTTGAAATGATTAATCAATTGTCCAAATATTACTTGTTGAAAAATCCATCCTTTCCTTACTAATCTTTTTCGTATTTTAAAGTTCTGTATCTATATCATCTAGACCGTCTATTCTGTTTCTCCATTTCCTATACTGTTTCACAATATTATCTATCTCTATGCCAGTATTATACTCTCATAATTATTTTATCTTTACAGTATGTAGGGAATATGTAAAAACATGCCTTGTGGTATAAAATTCAAATTCCTTCCAGTTTGCAGAGCCCTTGCTGACATGACTCTTCCTTTCTCCAGGTTCATTCTCGTACACAGATATGCAATAGAACAATGCAAGCTGTTTGTAGTCTTCTAGTCTCTCCCACTTGCCTGGCTTTTGCATGTTCTGTGTTCCTGTACAACCCTGCCCCCTATCCACCCTCTTCATTCAAAGTGACCTCATTTCACCCTCCATCTTTGCTCTACCATATGCTGAATTATTTTTCCTTTCTCCTTCAATCCCTTCTCTTCCCTCTCTCTCTTTCTTCCATCGTTCCTCCACTCCCTTGTCTTTTCTTTCTCTCTTCTTCTATACATACACTATATAAAGTATAATATACATGACCCTTTCTTCCCTCTCCCACTTGAAGAATGTAAAGTTTATGTCCCTAAAGATTATGTCTCATTCCACTCTGTATTACTAATGCTTATTTTAGGCACTGAGCAGATAGTCCATATATACTAAACACATGGAAAGCAAATCACCACAGTGACATTATAGTAGTCTAGAATCAAAGAAGGATACTAGCTCATTCTATAGTCTAACTTCTTTGAGGGTGTGATAGCTAAGTGCCACATATATATATATATATATATATATATATTTATAACTGGGGTAAATATTCATACTTATTAATTCATGTTCCTTTCATAAGCTTAGAGAAGTCAGAGTGTGTTATATTATATATATTATACTTTGTCATAGTGTGTTATCTAGTCAATAAAATGTTGCTTTCCAATAAAACAGTCATGTCAGCACTGTCAAGTTCTATAAACAAATATATTTGAATTGGATTTTGTGATTCCTTAGCCAGCCTTTTCATTTCATGTGTGTTTCTGCCTTGATGTAAAATACAAGCATATAGTATATGTGGTTCTTGCATAGTAACATTAGCCTTTTCTCATTACTGTATATATAATTGCTTCTAGAAAAATTAACATTTTTTTCTGAATCTGAGGATGCTGTTAGCCAGAGGCCATAGTCATAGACTATATGACTATAGAAATAGAAACATTTCTAAAAATACAAAAGAAAATGTTACCTCTTAATTCTGATGCAGAGAAAGAGCCTTCTAGATTCCTTCAATTAAAGACAACTAGAAAAGGAAAACTTTTCAGTATAGCTATGTTGACTTTTTTCTTAGTAAAATAGATTCCTTTGGTTTTCTTATTTCATTTTTAGAAAATATATATATATATACATATATATATATATTTTTTTTTTTTTTTTTTTTGTTGTGGGGCTTGAACTCTGGGCCTGGGCGCTGTCCCTCAGCTCTTCAGCTCAAGGCGAGCACTCTACCACTTGAGCTACAGCGCCACTTCCAGTTTTCTGGTGGCTTATTGGAGATAGGAGTCTCACGGTCTCTCCTGCCCGGGCTGGCTTTGAACCACGATCCTCAGATCTCAGCCTCCTGAGTAGCTAGGATTACAGGCGTGAGCCACCAGCGCCCAGCTAGAATATATATTCTTAAGGAAGGTTTTTCTTGCTTTAGTACATAGAGGCCTGTAAATGGGATTGCACTCATCTTCATAATTAGCCTCTCCTAGTTTTTCTTATTTTGAAAACTGGGTCTATATTGTAAAAAACACTAAAATCTGTTAATGTACTCCTTCACCAATCTCTCATTTCCCAACTGTAAGATTCTCTTGTCCCCAAGAGCAATTATTCAACCACATGGTCTAAACCCCTTTATTTTTGCCTCTAAGATTCTTGATCTTCTTAAAAACTAAGATTGCATCTTTATTTCGTGATTTTCTGTTGGTGGTGGTGGAAGTTATGGAGTGTGAACACAGGGCCTGGGCTGTGCCTGAGATCTTTTTACTCAAAGCTAGTGTTCTACCACTTTGAACCACAGCTCCACTGTGGCAAATCAGTGGTAAATCAGAAAAAAAGAGTCTCACAAATAATACTCTTCTGCCTGGGCTGGCTTCAAACCTTGATCCTCAGATCTGAGCCTCCTGAGTAGCTAGACTTACAGCCTGAAGCGTGTATCTTTATTAATGACATAGTTCTTTTACTCTGGTTTTGTAGAGGTGAGATTAATTTGAGATTTAGAAGAGCCTTCCAA